TACATTACACATAGATCGTCTGCGAGGTCGAGATCTTCTAGTGTCTTTATCGGTCCAACGTATTACTTTCTCACTTCTCATGTACGGTGTGCCACATAATCTAGTTCACAACTATTAAGACTATCATCAGCGTAGTAGGCAACTTTGTCTTCACTTCAAATGCTTCTCTGACTTTTCTCCGTTGTAGATTACTTGACATGTGGCGTTGTCATATAACTGTTAAATGAGGTTGATAGAGATTTGGGAATGTCATATTATTGAAGTAGTTTCCTAAATTACCTCGCTGTCAACACTGTCGACGGCCTTTTCAAAGTCGATGAAACTGAAGTACAGATTTGATTGTCATTCTGTTCTTTTTTCTATGACGCGTAAAGTTGCGATTTGATCTACATATGACTTGCTTTTCATTAATCCAGCTTGTTCTGGGCTTATTTCTGCATCCACAGCATCTGTTCCTCTCTTCGGAACAACGCCACTTAGTGCTTTAATTGGGGCGGAGAAGGACAGAACTCCATATCAGTTCTTGCAGTAACCTAACTCACTCCTCTTCGGCAGTTTGATAAGGTTGCCTTTCGTCCAGTGGGCGGGTGCCTTCCAAACGTTTGCAATAGTGGTGTGAGCATATCCACTGAGGTTTCTGGACCCGTTTTCAGTCCTTCAGGGGAAATTCCGTCTGGACGAAATGCAGGTGATAGTCAACTCAAGAGTCGTTTGAAATGATCAGTCTATTGTTTTATTTGTCTCTCCTTGTTAGTGATTGGGTTCCATCTCCGTTGATCTTTTCCCTCATAGAGATCTAGTTATTTGATATGATGTTCTGAGGTCTGTTCTGCTTCAATTACTAGTGTGTCGTAGAACTGTCTTTTGAGACAAAAGACAGCACTCTTCTTTACTTCTTTATTCACTGCAGTGTATATTGAACTCAGCTTCTCCTTCTGTTTCCCATCTTTGCATTGGATCATCATCTCATCTATTTCACCATCCTCCTCTCCTCGATTAGCTTCCGGGTATCCATGAAGAGCCATTTCTTGTCTTGTCTCTTCTCTCTCCCTAGAACAGTTGTACACGTTTCCTTGAATATCGCCTTCGGAGAGTTCCAATGTCCTTCCACGCAGGTTACCTCAATGATAACACGTAGTGTGTCCGACTTTGCTCTGATATCTGTAGTGAAGGAATCCTTTGTGGTTTTGTCTTTCAGTTTCTGAATGTTAAACTTATATTACAATGGTCTGTCTGCAGCTGTTTTGAATGCTTTCGGCCTGACCCTGAAAGTTACTTGACCTAGATAATGGTCTGAGCAGACATCTGCTCCTCTTCCGATTTTGTGTCCAGCAGGCTGCATCTCCACCTTCTTGAGACAAGATGAAATCTGTCTGGTTTTTGGTGTGTCCGTCAGGTGAAATCCATGTTACCTTGTGCATATCCTTGTGAATGTATATACCACCTCCAACCACCAAGTCACTGTGAAGAGTTCTCCGTTATCTTTTATTTTGTGGAGAGCCTCTCGATCCAATAGAAAAAATATAAATTACATTTACTATCTGAACAACTTTTGTCGCGATGACAAGGTGTACTTGATGGAAACTAAGAGTAACATAAGTCCGGAATGATATCAGTTGTTAATTTATTAAGAACTGAAAAGTCTACGAAGAATTTATTGTTCTCATTCATTTCGCCGAGAGAGACTCTCAAATCGTTATAATTTAGTTTTCTTCCTGTTTTGTCTACCCCCAGTTTATCATTCATGTCTCCTGTAAGGATTTTGTTGTAACCATTTAGTGTTTTGTCAAATACTGTTTCCAGTTGTCTATAGAAACTTTCCTTCTCTCTATGTGAGTTCTTTGTCGGCACGTAGCATCTGATAATTGTAACCCTCCTTCACTTTTAGTTGAATTTTGCTGTAATTATCCTGGAGGAGATTCTTTCCCAGTACATAAAAGCTTTGGTTGCTGTTGGTGACATCATGATGGCTACTCCCTTAGTGTGCTGGTGGTTGTCGTCTGGCTGACCAGTTAACAATTTCGATAGTCCGCATTTATCCCACCTGCTCTCACAGATCCCAAGCACCTCCATGCCATATTTTCTAATTTCTTTGGCTACCTGAGCAGCCTCCCGGCTTCGTACATTGTACGAACATTCCACCTCCTCATCCTTATTTTTGCTTTCATTGGAAGAGGACATAACGGCTGATTGACTTCCTGAAGGCTTTCACTAGACTGCGTCATTTCGTCTCTCCGATTCCACTAGGAGATAAGTTTGTTTTTCTTATATGTTCTTGTTGTGCTTTGAAGTTTTTGTAGCAATTCACTCAATAAATGAAAAAAGAACAAGTATGAAATCTATTGTAATTGACAATTAAGTTGTTTTGGTGGACTGTTAATTCATTTTATTCATAAACAAAAGTTTCCTGTTTTGCGGGATGAAATTGAACTGTGTGTTTATCAGTCACTTATCGTACAGTACATTTAACCGCAAATCTACTGCCTTTAATGGTATTTAATAGGATCTAGCATAAAATAGTATATAATTCTTTCTCAAAAATCTTGTTATGGAATCGCTATACGAATCCATCATTTCCCTTGCATATTATGATTTATTGTGTGATCATCATCTTTTATCTCACCTTGGTCTTTGTCGGACCGCCAAACAATCAGGAAAACTATTACCAGCCAGTAAGAAGAATTCATTCTTACGGCTGTGAGCCGACTTATTTGTGGTAGAGAAAATATATAAATATGTGTTGTTTCCTAATAAAATATACAGTATCTTACAGTCACAGACCAGCCGTTGTCTTTTGATATTTGCGTGGCTCATTGAGGCGGAAGATACAACGGACGAATAAGCGTATTAGCGTACTAGTCGAGTTCATTACCGTTATAACAATTAGCGGCGTCAACATAACATTATGGTAACACATTTAAGCCTGGAAAAAATGGTATAGATATCTATACCTGTGTAGGTCTTCCTACACTACACAGCTTCGTTAGCCTAGGAGATAAATCTGTGCCAGACTACTCGGCTGCATAGAAAGTTTACTCTGTACTTTCTTATGATCAGCAATCTTAAGTCTTAGTTTCTAATATTCACTAGATATAACGAAAAGAGGGTAAGTGTAATCATACAGATTGACATAACAGTGTATAACCAGTACTTTTATCTGCTCACTAACAGAAGACGATTGTTGTGGACGCCAGGTGCAATAATTCAGTGCTAAGGTATCGTTGAATGTGTCTGCTTCGTTTATCTGAATGTCTTCAAGCATTTCGATCCACTTCTTATACTTCAAAAAGAATTCGGAGTCTTTTGATAATGTGCACCGAAAATTTACAGTTAGAATTCAACCACGCCATATATCATCAGGTTGATAAAGCCAAAGTATGGTGCTATATTGGCCTCATACTTGCTGACATCACTAGTACACAGGTTTGAACTGATAGACAGGGATCTGGCGAAAATATGGGACTAAGTTCTACAATTGATATGTTATCTATTATTATTATTGTTCCCTTGGGTTCCTAGCGGAACATAGGGTTTCAACTGCACGTCTCCACTTGCTTCTCTCTTCTGCTGTACTTTTCAGCTGCATCCATGTTAGTCCATACTCTTTTAACTCCTCTTCACACGATCTCCTCCATGTCACTCACCCTTGCACTGACGTCCCACTCGCCGCTCCCCTTTCGGGTTCCACTCGAGCGATGGCCTGACGCGCGATGTCACCTAGCGGCCTCCTCAGCGAGTGTTCAATCCATCTCCCCTTTATCCTGCATATTTCTTGGGCGATCTACTCTTAGTTGGTTTGTTCCCATAGTTTCTTGTCGGTGATTCTTTCCCTCCCGGCCATCTGATCCTCAGTATAGAGCTAGCGAAGACAGTTGTCGATAAAGGTCTGGTCTGCAACAGGCTGTTGGAAATATTCTTTGTGACCCGCCCGCCCGCCAACTTTCTGATCCGTATAGAAGAAGTGACTGACTTGACGTTGTTTGTATTGAAAATCCTACCGAATTTTGTTGTTGATTCTGAATGACGAAGATTTCCTTCCAGATTGGTTTGAGGTTGATGAATGTGTTTCTCCCCTTCCCGATTCTCGCTCGATTTGGCATCCTCGTCCGTCCCGAGTGTCTGTAGTTGAGACAATGCTCCCTAGATAAGTGAGTGAATGAATTAACCTCTTTCAAATCCGTCCCGTTGATGGTGATTGGCGCTGGATGTTGCTGCTGTTGTTGGTTGGTTGGTTATTTTCATAACCTCCGTCTTGCCTATGTTCACCTGGAGTCCTGTCTTCGCCGGCTGCTTCTTCGACCAGTTTGTCGGTTTTCGCTTGTAAGTCTTCGATTTTGTGTGACATCAAACATAAATCATCGCCGCGCGAAATCCAGGTCTTCTAGGTTCTTCACGTCGGTCCAGGATATCGACGATATGTTATCTACTAGTCTATTATTCATAACTTATGATATGCATCCCCACGACAACAAAAGTCATCAGGCGACAGATTATATCAAGAAATATGGGTAAACTGACAAATTTCCTTTATACAGGTGGAGCTCTAGTTACTTCGTTCATTGCATGATTCGGATTTACATTTAAGTAGTGTCAATATCATCTCTGCATGCCCAGAATTCTGTCATTTTGATTAAAGTGTGCGAACTGATTTAGATTGTAAGCTGTTGAAAAGAACTAACGAGGCAAGATGATATCATGCTATCCTGCTCATTTTTTGTGTTGCTCCTGCACTCGAAGACAAATACTCATACAATAAGTTCTATTAGATTGATGAATACTCTCTTTAACTCGACAAGAATGACCAAGTCACTGTTTGAAGATATTTTATTTTGGTTAGTAATATTTTAGAAATAATGAAGTTAATGAAACTAATTATCATTATTATTATTGTTATTACAATTTTTCAAATTATTTTCATTGTTTCATTACAATCAGAGTAATATTTTTGCACAGTTTAAACGTTTTATAATCATTCACATGTCCGTGAGATCTTTATTTATCTATTTGAACTCACTGCATTGCATTCGTTCTTCTAAAAATCAATAAATGTAGAAATAAAAAAGAAGTAATAGTTTATTATAAAATCAACCTGAATTTTACAGACATCGAAAAAGTGAGATTTGAAAAGTATTCAGATTATTTGATTCATACAGGATGAGTTAGCTGTAGCTCTTAATCAGTTCATCTTTTGAGTTGTGTGTTTAGCGGTAACTAGTTTTAACACCGGATCGAGATACCCATTTTATTCTATTTTGAAATTATAGAACAAATTCCACTTATTTTTATTAGGCGATAGTGTTCTCAGGATTAAAAACTAGCTTTTACTTGGAATGCAGATGACAGCGGAATATCCTTCCAGTCATTTTCTCCTCCTTTGGAATGAATAAAATTGGAACATAGTGTGATATTTGATTTTCAATATTTCTTAACTTATTAGTAGTCATAACAGTATTAAATCTGCATAACTTAATTTATTGAATTTTAGTTATTAGTCTAACAGTTTTGTAGTAATCAGAACACAATAAAAAACCAACAGCAGTTTGAGAAAAATTAAGCAAGTGATTAAAAGAAGCTGTTGAATACATAAGTGAAAATTCCATACGATACCAATATATTTAGCACTTACTAAGGCACTAGTGTAGCAATAGAAGTCAAGACACGGAAGTCAAGGTATGTTTTCCATCAATAAATCCGCTGTTCATGTATCTACAGCTTATATTCGTTAACCACTCACTGAGCGTGTGATTTCAGTTTACATTGAACGACATGAAATAGAATGTTCAAATAGATATATTGTATTGTGTTGTTAATGTCACGTGCGCCGGTGGCGCAGCGGTTAGGACGCTCGCCGACCATGCACATGCTCCGGGGTTCGATACCCAGCCGACGCACTCCTTTACCTCGGCAAGCCAGAAGTAATGCTGGTAAACAGGGAAGGTTGGGCATGAGGCTGGCTAGCAACCCCATCCTGTAAAATTAAACACTGCTACAGAAACCTCAAGCCACTAGCTTGAGACCCCATTTTCCACCGGGAACGTGAAAGAAAAAAAAGTTGTTAATGTCGAATTGAACTGTGTAAACATATGACAATAAAATTCCCTTGGCACACATTGTCTGTACCACACCACCACCACAAGTTGATCAGGACTCATGTCTCCTAACTGATTTTACATTTTCCTCATTAGAAATTCATTTGAATGGTTTAATCTAGACTGATTGGCAGTGTCTGCTGAATACGATTATAAGAATTAATATTATGAAGAACCTTTGCAATTAATAGTGTTCTCTGAGCTGGTTGGTTTAGTTGCGGAGCTTTCATCGTCTTTCTGGACGACATCTTCTGCGCAGTATTTAGGATAAAGTGAAATGATTTAAATTTCTTCATGAGTGATATAATTATTATGAAGAACTGGATATCTTCTTTCATCTAGTTTTTAAATCCACATGAGTATTCCTCTTGTTTTTTTCTTCTGGTTCCAATAACACCTAAAGGTAGAATTTGTGTTAATGTAAACTAAAATACAGTAAACTTTCCGAACCGGCTTGATCTTATAAGCTTAGTAGTTCAGTTTTAGGCCAGTTATTTAAGCCAGCTCATTTAGTTGTGACTCGTTTGAATGTTTTATGAATAGCTGAATAATCTTCTATTCTTTATCTCAAGCTGATAAATTTTCATGAAAACCAGTGGTGACCGGATAATATGAAATAACTGTTGCATTTAGGACATTTATTACTATGATTGTACCGTAGTGTATTTTTTCAAGATACCTATCATTCACAGATCCTTAACTCATCTTGCCCAGTGATAAAAACTTCGGAAGTTGATGATAAAATAAGTGAATCGAAGTTTGTATGACAAGCACACATTACTATGAGAAGTAATGCATAGTGAGTTTGACTAAAAGTCGACTCCTGTATCACCTTAAGGATAAATATTGTGATCAGTGTTCCATATTCAGTCTGCAACTGGTTATGAAAGGGTACGTAGTACTGATGACTCGGAAATTAGAATGAAACACTTAGGCTGTGCCCCTGGGTTTTCTGAGCTGGTCATTTCCCAGATAATTGTTTCTGTCGAAACCTGTCTTAAGATTAGGTAGGTATCTGTTGTTACCTTTAGCTGTTTTACACCAGAAAAAGATGTTTGTGTTCAATAGTTTAATTAATAAACTGTGTTATAGGTCTATACAATAAAAATGCCTACCTACATCATAGTTGCTGCTTTTATTTATTATGCATTGTGGTAGACAGACCTATACTCAATGAAATAACTGATGGAATGAGTGTGTGTGTGTGTGTCATTTGCGTGTATGAGTTGTTAGGCATTATGTACATGTCAGAAATTGGTATACGTACTACATGTTTTCGTGCAACTGTATGTTCATATTTATGTATTTTGTGGTTTCCTATATCAGTATGTGAAAAAAAGTAATTTCCCGTTCAAATATCAACATGTCATTCTTATTTATCTGATGAATTCATGATCTTAAATAAGTTTTACTCTACATTGATTTGTTATTCTACTCAATGCTAATAATAAAAATATATGAAATATATTGACAATTCAGACTTAGAAAAAAGAATAACCTAATGGAATTGTTTTTTTTTTAGATTGGAATATGACAGGATAACCTGTTTCTCGATAATTTCTAATGACAACGTAGATAGCAATTATTTTCAGACGATTGAGAAAAGTAGAGGCTAGTGACAGAATGGATAATAAGTTGGCCACAAGAACTGATACTCGTAAGTTAGATGAGACACTACTACTACTACTGGCACACAATGCTGATTAAAGTATTCAGCTATAACAAAACGTGCAGCTGCCTGCGTAGGCTAGTGATTAGTTCCTAAGTGAAATAAATTAATCTCTCGGAGAACAGGCCATCCAAATGAGTAATAAAGATCTGAACACGAAAGATGAATGAAGTTAAAATTAGAATCACAGTGATATTCATAATAAGGGCACTGATTTGAGCCTCGGCTTTACCAACATTTTCATTCCAGATTCAATAATCATGCATGTAAATTTCGTTTAGTCAGACAGTGGACATTTTCTGAAGTATTTCTTCTCAGACCGAGTGGTGGAGTGATGCAGACAATGCGCGCCAACGGAATGCTATTCTTACATGTTCACACAGTTCACTTAGACATTAACATCACAATACAATATATCTATTTAAACATTCTATTCGATGTTAGAGTGGCAATGCTATTCCCACAGTTCAATACTACATACGATATATCTATTTGAACATTCTACTTGATGTTAGAGACGGAATACATTTCCAAAGCCTATATACTGCATTGGAAACAGAGTACTATGTGAATATTTGAACATTCTATTTCATATCGTTTGATGTCAACTGAAATCACATGCTCAGGGAGTGGTTAAAGAGTATAAACTGTGTAGATATGAACAGCGGTTTGTTTAATGAAAAGTATATACCCTGACTTAAATGTCTTTGCCTATTATCGTTACAGTTGTTAGAGTGGCAATGCCATTCCCACAGTTCAATACTGCATACGATATATCCATTGGAACATTGTATTTGATGTTAGAGACAGAATACTTTTCACACAGTTCAGTACTGAGTTAGCAACAGAATACTACATGTATATTTGAACATTCTATTTCATGTCGTTTGATGCAAACTGAAATCACCAGCTCAGTGAGTGTTAAAGTGTATAAACTGTGTAGATATATGAACAGCGGTTTGATTAATGAAAAGTATATACCCTGACTTCAGTGTCTTGCCTTTTATCGTTACAATTGTAAATATTTTATTATTCTTTTCACGAAACAAAATTAACTGGAAAAATGATTGGAGGCACAGAAAATGTGGATAGCAGTTTTATCCATCTTCGGTAGTTTTCGCTCAAGACTGCTTAAGAGATAAGTCCCAAAGTCATGACAGTACAACTATAGGATTCCCCTTTTAAGGCAACAGGTTCGAAACTAATGTTCTGTGATTTCTAGTTGTTGGTAGTTTACAAGATGCAGTCTACAAAGAACAACATATTTTGAAGGTAAGCAAAATGCCTTGCAGTCGGCCTATCAATTAAATGTCTGTATGGGAAATGTATGTTTGTAAGGCCATGTTTAAACTTTTTTACATAATAGTCATCTGGTTTTAGTGCTTCAGATATAAACTGTGCTATCACCAGTTCTCCTGTGTATTAATTTAGCCAGTGTTAAAAGGAAAAGGTTAGTAAATGATATTTTCCTTTTAGGTGTACTCAGAAACTTTTCATTATCTTCACAAGAGAAAGCGTGAATAAACTTGAATACTACGAAGAAAACATTCATGTGGTATTTCAACTTATTCTGATACAACTGATCATAACTTTAGTGTTTTCTTTGGTGAACAGACTATTCATCAATAAGTGTATTCTATCAAATCGTTTTCTGGTTCACTGGTTTTAGGATAGTCTTTTTTTTTTATTTTATGACTGCATTCCACTATTAACTATCGCTTACTTGACTTTATAATTGTATCTTGGGTATAAAATATTCCTTCGTGCATTCGGTACTTCTAAATTATTCCCTTCTTGATTTGATAATTCATTATTCCTTCTGCTGCTTTGGGGGGTAATACGAGTCATAACAGATACTGACAAATAAGTTTCCTGCAGCCTTCCCAATAATTCAATATATCATGCTGACATATTGCTGAAATTGTTTATATTTGAAGCCACCTGTAAAATCCTCTTATGAAGTAAATTAGTTTTCCAACTATTAGACTACTAAGCATAAAAGTGGAGGATATTCGGTTGACTTATCTTCTGGTACTGATAAGAAATGTCTTATTTGCAAAGAGTTTCTCATGGAACTGAGTAGTATTTAGTAGTTTTCTATAAGTCACGAACTTGGACGATTCCAGCCCACAGAGCTTAGACACTGTTTCGATTTAGTACAAGTGATAATATTTGTTAGGAGTCGAACCAGTCACTAGCGCTTCTATAGCATGTATTATATATATATACAATTTAACTTTAACTTACCCGAAGGTATATCGAAGCAATTATGCCACTGGTCGAATGATATTCCCCCAGAACCAGAGCAACGATTAATAAATACTTCTAGGCATGGTGTTGACGGTAATAACAGCTGATACAAGGCATTCAAATCATCTTGTTGTAATGATCTAAGCAGACAGGAGAAAATACAAAATTTTTTGAATAAATAAGTGGATGGAGATGAAGGGAAAAAACTAAAATAATAGAACAGAAAAGCAGAATCAAACAGCATATTGTTACATCACATTTCTACAATTTGACTAGTAAAACACATTTTATGAATTAGTGAAAAGGAAAGCTATAAAAGACCACCAAATTGTTATCTACAGAAAATATTTTACTACTTGGGTGGTAACTTATAAGCCAGATTATTATTAAATTTTAATGCATATGCAAATGCGCATAAACTTCTGTAAATTAAGGATTGAACTGTTACTATATCTATCAAAGCTCACACACATCAGTTACATAATTGCTGGAAATCGGAAAAATATTCGAGTCGAGCATTTCGCATTCATAGCTGCGCATCAGACACAGTTCAGGTCAGATAGTTCTGGCAGATGTGGAAGCACTAATAGCCAGTATAAGGAAAGTAGCTGTACGAATTTATTCTGGAATAAGAGGCTCATATTCTTCAGGTGGTTTCCGTTGGCTTCATTTTGTCTGTTCCTTACTAAATCATACAGGATGATGTTCACAAATTCGATGATGAACATGTCTAATTGTATGCTAAATGTAACTAGCTCTACAGAAGCAGTCAGACCGATAGATGCACATAGTGGAGGTGAAATTAGGTAGTTTATTTTTATTTCTGGAACATAAAATTGGAGTGACTACGAAGAGGCACTGAATACTCTTTTTACTGCATCCTTTAGGCGTTGTGTTATTATTTCACTGATGCTGTCACCATGGAACTTCAGTTTTAAGCACAAAGGCTTCCGTGGAACTACTGACCCACTAGCTTACTTTCGCGGTAAGTTCATATTTTTATCAAGGAACTTTTGTGGATAACCATTTTCAGAAAATAATTCCTCATTAAGGCAGTGATCAGATCAGATTGATCTATCTCTGCAAACACTTTACTAAACTGAGTTCATATTTAAAAAGTACAAAATTCGTAAAAAAAAAATAAGGATACTGACCAGCCGATCTATTTTTTCTATATAGTCCTTTTTATTGAAACATCTTTTTTCCTAATAACAAGGACGTCTACGGATGAAATACTATCATTTCTTTATTTCTCGGTGGTAAAATTTATTCCACTATGGAAATCATTATATTTTAGAAGCATGTTTATTGCTTCATCTTCATTTTCCATAAACATGTGACAACAATAGGATTCCAATTCACTAATTACTCTGTCATCAGCTTGAAATCGACGTATGAAAGTTACGCTTATACTTCGTTCTCTTAAAAAAATTACGTTTTTATTAGGCGTTAATCCGTGACTGGTGAACTGTAACAACATCTTCCTATTTTATATTTGTTATGAGGACCAAAAGTGCCGCTGAAACCACAAAAAATGACTGTGAAGAAGAAATTCACACATCTGTTACGCCCTAGGAACAAACTTTAACATGTTAAAGTGTGCAATTCTAGCAGCAGATTCATGCTCAAATTTAAATAATTTCTGCTGCATGGTAGGAATGCGTATGTATATACCAATTGCACTTTTAACGCTGTCAGTTTGATTCTATCTTGATGTGAAACGCAAAAAATATGCTACCTCATCTTGGGCTAGTCAGCGATAGGCATCTATACTTTCTTGACGATATTCCTACTGAAGTTCCAACATTTTATTCACGACATCAAAGTGATAATAGCCATCTTCCGCGTTGAATATACACATGATTGTTATTAAACATGTTACTTATCAATGGTAAGAGAGACAAATATCGTGATTCAGTAATCTAGTGAATAAATCACAAGATTAAAAAAGGTGGAAGTAAGTGGAAATACCCACGGCTGATAGTTATGCTCGAACAAATAGTAGTTAGTTTTAGACTTCAGTTTGTAATATCATATGTGGTTCAGCATCTCCAAAGTGATATGAAGGTTATTTGCTAGACTGTGTGACAAAACTGATTTTACATCATAACGCAATGAAAATATGATGCACAGAGCAATATACTATAATTAGGTCAAAATATTGTTACCAAGGTGATTAAAATTGGTCTAATCACGGTCTGTTTTTCATGCATAGGTCAGGGTGAAGTTATCTGACCTCGGAAACTTTCACAATAACACCACAGTAGAACTGATAATACAAAAATAATAAACCTTAAGTTCTAAGCATTTACGAATTATGCCACAATATTCTTTGTTAGAAAACTGAGCTATAGTCCATATCATAAATCAGTTCTATAAAAATAGAATTTATATGCACCGCGGTAGAGTATATAATTTCATTGTGAGTAAAATCAAAGTCACCTTGATATGATTATGAGCAATAAATTGTGCTCGAAACGTCATCAGTAAATATTAGTGTTTAACACTCTGACACTATCAAAATAAAAATTAAACCCACAATGGAATTATAAATCAGTTTTGCAATGAGTCAGTGTCGTGGCTGACATAGTTTAACACTGAGTAACACTAAATATCATTTCATTATAATAGGTAAATTGTCCTCGAAACGTCATCCAATAAATAATACTGTTCCACCAAATAAACAAACTAGCCTGAAATTCCACTGCATGACTATATCCAGTGTTATACGCTTATTTCTGTTGAATGACACTAGTCTGACTTTTCAAGAGAACGGATTTCATCATAAATGATGAATACACCTTACTGATAAGTATGAAGAAGAGTAAAACCTAAGAAGCTGCCTCCTGATATTCACTTTAGTATCATTTAGCTTATCGCCTTACAAACTCGAATGATACAGTTGGGTGAACACTAAATAATTAAAAAAACGGTATCGTACGATTAAAAGTCATGAATGTGTTATCACGTCGACTGGCTCTTCTATTTGTTTCATTAGTTTGCCGTTGAGTTTAAACAGTTCTTCTCCAGACTTCGCATGTTTTAATTTGTCTAGGTCAGTTTCTTTTGCTGGAGAACTGTGGTTTGTGTTGTTGATAAAATTTACCAGTGGTATATAATGCAACGTTCATCAACATAAAGATATATAAAGGTAGACAGATAAATTAGACATCAAAGAGAGTGAATGAACCAGCGTTGCGGCAAAACATGAGAGATACGAAAGGGAGACAAAAGAACACAATACGAAGGGTAGAAGTAGCACTACATGGCAGATCTGTGCAAATGAAGACTTTCAGATAAGGTGTACATAATTTCGCTGTATAAATATACCAAGCATTTCGTTACCATGCCTGGCATTATTTTACATAGCAGTCTGAACTACTACCATTCTCATGCTATAGAGCTATTCTCACTCCATACAGAGATCGCCCATTTAGTCTGAAATTACCTACCTAAATGAAAAGGTAGAGGACTTCGATTTTCGCTAATTAAACTTACCGCTCTTTAGTCTCAGTATACTTTTATGGGTAGGACAGAAGCTGTCAATCACCACTTAAATTATCTCAGGTATTTGGATTTGTATTAGAGGCCTACACGAATGCCGTATTCATACCAGATGCTATGTTTGATTGTTCCAAAAGTGCTATATCAACATTTTCATACCTCTGGAATGTCTGTTATAGAGTTTGCTATACTGTGAGTGAAAATGCTTCTCGACAGCTTTTATCCTCACTCAACCTATGAAAAATAGGTCAGTAACCAATTTTGTCACAGTAACAGAAAAAGAGACCAGTAGGAGTCGGTCTAGCGAAAAGCAACTAATAGCTGCCTGTAGCTATTTTCAACAATTAATAGGTTGTCATATTCAAGCAGTTGTATTTTAAACTGCATGGAAATTTACTAAATAGGATGAACTTTTGATGCTGGCTTGCATAACAGTCTACGGGTGCAGATAGATACCTCTGCGTTCCATCTTTTCTAATATTTCGGAATCTGTCATCTAAAGGAAAGAATGACAAATTATTAGGAATTAATGCACCATTCGATGGTCTTGAAATTTCCACCAAAAGATTTAGTTATCCTGTTATTGTTGTTTAACGCCATTCTATAATATAGAGGCTTAAACTAGAAATAACTTGTAGTGTATTTTGGATTTACCACAAATTCTCCACACAGTATTATTTAGTGCCTCCGTCAGTCATTTTTACTTTGAAACAGTTTGTTAAGTCACTCATGTTTTAACAGGCAGCTGAGTTAAGTAAACACACAATAACTACAAAAAAAGCATACTAGATGAAATTTGAACAAACTAACAGAAAGAGAGAGATTGTACAATTTTAACTTGACAGTACTCTGACACCCGCCTTAAAATGTATACAATAGTGACATGTGCATTTTATTAAAAAAAATAAATAAAATAAAACAGAAAACTACGTCGCCACCGCCACTGATACCTACATCACTATCTCACTTTTGATAATAAAAACCTGTTGTTACGGGAATAGTGTTGTATTTCTAATGCGTTTTTTTCTTCAGAAATACACAAAAGATTACAAAATTGAACAAAGCAAGAACTACTGCTAAAACTGTAGTTCTTGCTTTGTTCAAATTCATTAAGGGGAATAAATGTATGAAATTACAAAATTGGTTAAAAAAAAACACAATAATCTTGCGCTTTATCATTCATTCATTCATTTTTTTACCTTCTAAATGTTTTGTTTCAAACTATTGTGTGTATGTGTGTGTGTGTGTTTTGCATATATATTTATTGAAGGAATAACGACTGATCTTGTCGTTGGCTTCCTTGAACGTTTGTAGACGAATAAATGGCTTTCAAGTTGACTAGCAACATCAAATTAATCTAAAAGAAGTTCAGTGCCTTTCCTTAAAATATATACTAAAATATATACTTCTAGTCTCATTGTGTATTTTATTATCCGCCTTCATATCATCTCACAAAGGGAATACGTCTCTTGAGTATTATCATCTTCTGGATTTGTTTAAAGCAACGTTCAAAACCTTCCACTGTCTGCACTGCAGTTACGTTTTTCTGTCTAGCTGATTGTTTTGCCTTACTAACAAGCGGTCTTATTTTGTAACTTATACTCTGTTAACAAGTGTATTTTCAAATGAATATACTTGGACAATGGAGACAGTTCAACATAATCTCCAAGATTACTGCAGCAGTCCTTACATCATGAAGAATCCTTATGTCAAGTAATTATAATTGTATTTCAGTGGTTGTTTACACAGAATGATATTAGCTTTTATTGTTTTGGTAATATTCTGAGCGAAATTGCTATCTGTGACTACACCAATCAAAATTAAAAAGCTTATAGATGTATAACCCTAAGTTCTACTGATTGACTCGTATGAATAGTCGAACACCAATAACACGCACTACTAGTTGATGTTAGTTTTGGTCAACTAATTACCTCAATCAATAAGTAGAACATAGCGTCGTGCGTTAATGTTTGCTTTCTTGATCGTCGTTTATAGCATCAAGTAGATCATATGTAGAGTGATTTGAATAATAATAATCTCAGTTTCTAAAGAAAAAAACTGTGTTGAAATTTCACCTCCTCGAATTGTGTACATTTCAAATCGCAGTTGCAAATTTGATTTAAAAAATACCTACTATTGAATGTAAACAACCATTGAAATATAATTACAATTAACTGATCCATTCCACAGGGTAAAAACTTTCCATGGACATTAATCTTTGTGCCATTAGGCTAACTTACCTTTTTATATTGAGAATTAGTAAAGTATCATGAGCAATTTTAATTAGCAGCCTATTTGTATTAGAGGTTGATCAAGGCTGGAAACTAACTGAACCCGTTCAATCGTGTTTTCAGCTCATTAATCAGTGGATTAGAATTAGAATAATATACTTGAAGTTTCTTAATTGTTACATATGAAATTCCCACAACTGATGTAATCATAGGTATTAGTTTTTCCTCAAAAGATATTACCAAGATACATCTATGATAATTAGAATATCATTGAATTGAATTTTTTTGAGTTTCCCGTCGATTGATTGGACCGAAGTGCTCGGTCTCAGGTTGACATGTCGGCTTCTTGTGCAGATGCTTCAACGATGTCTGGGAATTTAATTAGTATACAATTGGTGGATGGTGGCTAGCAGTGGAATCCAAGATGCGCATTTCGTCCTATTTGGGACTCGTCAGCTGGATGCACGTCATCACTCACTGAGAAATGCAGGTACATCCAGCTGACGAGTCCCAAATAGGATGAAATGCGCATCCTGGATTCCACTGCTAGCCACCATCCACCAATTGTATACTAATTAGAATGTCAATTATACAGTGCAACCGTCCAACATTAACGCATTGAACTGGACATGTTACAAACAGTAGTATTAACATGAGTGTATTTCACTTGTCTTGAAAACCTTGAATACCATTTTTAATGTCAATTAGCATTAATAAAGCATTATTTAATATATATCTATATGCTTGAGGTCATTTTAACTTCTGTCAATCTAATAATATTTACATAATTTACTTTATTAGTGATCCTGAAGCTGCACGGTCAACTAGTTAGTTGTTTAAAGTGTATTTTAAGTTCTAGAAACAAGTTCAATTAACTGTCATGTGCAAGAAAAAAAACAAGGAGAGAAATAGAAAATCAGCGAACAAGATTAAATTACTTCAGTGTTAATTATTCAAGTCGATACTGTTGGCTTCTAACAATGAACATACAATAACCCTGAGAAATGTTCTACTTTAAAACTTCTAAAGTTATTTCCCTGGGAACAAAAATAGGATAAACGAATGAGAACGATAAAACGAAGGCTTTGAAGTTGTGTAGTTACAGGTGATAAGATTATGAACAATAAATTGCGTCATAAAGATCATCTAGTGAATAGTAAGGTTTCACTGTGTGATATACCAAATCAACTAATTATTATAAAGTTATTTCTGGTTCATTAACGTAATTTCTACTCATATAACGCATACGTGCTTTTAATTGATTGCCTTTTGTGGGCATTTAACAGAGTTACAGAATAACAAGAGAATATCATCTCAATACAGCCTAACTTTCAGAAAGAACTCAAGAAATATTGGCCTATGTAAGAAAAGGTGGAACTGATCCTTCGATCCTTTTTGCTGAGATATAGTCAGCCAGCTCTTGGGACTGTATCTAAGGTTTTATGATGTGCGTTGACACATCAGATTACGAAGCAATCCAAACTGAAAACTTACGAAACATAAATGATATTCTAGATTCTAAATTAAACTTATTAATTAATAACTATGATAGGGCCGTTGGGGATTTGTCAAATAATATCATACTGGTGAAACATCTGATAAATGTATTTAGTGGTATTGTGGTGGTGTGACGCAGACAATGTGTGTCAATGACATATTATTCTCATATGTTCCCACAGTTCAATTCAGTATTAACAAGACAATAAAAAATATCCGCTTGAACATCCTATTTGATGTTAGAGATAGAATACTTTTCACAAAGTTCAGTACTGAGTTAGCAACAGAATACTATACCATATGTATATTTGAACATTCTATTTCATGTCGTTCTACGTAAACTGAAGTCACATGATCAGTGAGTGGTTAAAGTGTATAAACTGTGTAGATATATGAATATTGGTTTGATTAATGAAAAGCATATACCTTGACTTCCGTGTCTTGTCTTCTACTGCTGCAGTATAATAGGTCAGTCCCACTTGATTTTGGTTTATGGGGCCTGACCACTAAAGCTGAAATATGCGAGCAAAGGTATTTTGATAAAACTGTTTGTGTGTTAAGGTACAACGTAGTGAATATGATCAACTTTAGGCAAACAGTAATATGCGATAAGCATTACAAATCAGTGTAGTTATCAATCTTTTTTAAATGAAATACCTAGAGAGTACTTTACATTAAAATAAAAACAAGCAGTTTAGAGAAGAGACTCTTTTCGGCAAATTTATTCTCTTCACTGAACTGTTTGTCTTTTTTTCCATGTCTGTATGGATAATTTACATTAATCTGAGCCACTTAGTTTAGTAACAAACAATATTAACTAAGATGGAGAAAGCGTGGCACCAGTCTGAAGCTTTTCACATTCTGTTGAGCTATTCTGTCAACTGAAACGAGGATAGATTTTATTTGTATTTCATTGTAATTTCTGGTTACAACCTGATAAACCTACACACATTTCTGGGGACAAAATATGCGTCACTTTTCCTGATCAAATTTCCTAATAAAATAACACTATTCATTTATGTAAACAAGTTCGAATCAAATCCAGTTTTATACTAACCAAAAAGAAAACATGAACACAACAATAAAAGTAACCTTAAATGTGTATTTCTCCTATTAACAAAATAATGCTAGAATTTCGAACAGTTCACCTTTAACTTTTCTTCTGACCTATTCGTAAGATGGATAGGGAAAAAGGAAGCAACCAAATAAATTGAAAATAAAGCGTATAGTTACATAAACATATGTACATAAAGTTGAACGTCAAAATATTGACGTAAAAAGTGAAGGAAGGAACAAATAAGCAATTAAATGAATGAATACTTTGTTGTTACCTACCCCTTTCAGGTCAACACGATTTTCTATCCATAACGTTCATATGAAGATAATAGGAGTGTTAACAATAAAAATGATATAACAGAAGCAATAAAAAGGTTATGTATCGCTGAGCAGTGAGTGTGTACAAGTGATTCTGAAGTGCAAAAAGGTCAGCAATATATATATATATATATCACAAAGAATAAAGCCAAGGATAGTCAGACTCTTAGACAAGCAAGTTACTACTTGACCATTCACCTGAAGGAACACAATATAGCACTGTCATCATTCAGTGTTTTTATGAGTTCACTTTTTGGACCCCAGTCTTCATGATATCCCACCAGAACCTTTAGAAATTCACTTGGAAAATAGTAACTGATGAATAAGATCTCTCAAAAAAAGGTCTTTCAGTTTATATGTAGGTACAGTCGCTCACTAGTGAAATTGGACAATAAGAGCTTTGTAATAAAACTAAATAACTCAAATAAACTAGCGACATTGAAATCCCCGAAAGAAATTACTAGTATTCTCTATCATTTCCAAAACAAATGGGTAATATGAAACTGATACTTTTCTCGAAATTCAAATATGCCTCTTGCATAACTTAAACTCTGTAAAGCTTATTTTGATGAGATTCCAGCCTTCCGCAATCGAACAAGGCCCACTGTACTCGCTGACTTGCATAGCTAGTTTTGTACAAAACGAACAACTCAAGTAAGGTAAGGATTTACATCTGCTGGCCGTTCTTCACATTAGGTATAGTCCCGCTAAGAGTCACTATCAGCTTCCTTGGAAAATCAAGTGGTTTTCAAAGACAGAAGAGTTTCTTAGAATATCCTTCGTTCGGGCTAATCTTAATTAATGATATGACTTTAAAATTGTACTTGCTAGAGATTCACATGCGTGCATACGTCTTTCTAATAAACAAAGTGGATAAAAATTCTGACTTTTAATAACATTCTTCTTTTTTAATTTTAAAGAAAAAATGTTGAAAACATTCAATGTTCAAAATTTTATCAGAGTTTTGGTGTTTAAAAATTAATGAATTTGAATAATGATCGTTTCTACTCACCCTCTGTTTCTTCGATCAAGTTCACAGAACCAGTAACTGATAACTCCTCCATTGACTCTTTCATGAGGTGAATTTTGTGAGACCAGTTTACTTGTTGTACTTCTTGCTTTGGTATCCATTGGACGAAGTAGACTATCGTCGTCATTTGACCAAGATGAAGAAGACCACTAGTTGGTTGATAAAAAAAGAAAAGCTTTTTAAAAATAGTTTCAAATAAAAAACTGGCTTCTCAGTAAAAGTTATTCTACTATAAATGGGACAGTTGTTTAATGTGACTGGTCCTCAGATATCATCATCAAAATGTACACTAATTGCAAATGGTAGCAGAAGGGTACGTAGGGATTTCCCATCCAAATTAGTCGAATTGTAATAGAAATCAGATATTTTAATATGAAATAAGTAATACAGCTAGTTTCTTTTTGCAACAGAAACGTTAAAAGACGCCAGTGAAATAACAGTTTATTAGATTGCTTTAAGGACAGTACACTATTCTTTAAAAGCTCACATTCACACAACACACGCATAGAGGCCACCAGTTGTTTCCTCAAAGCATAGTTTCTCCATTCCTTGTTTTCCCACTGGAAAGTGCGGTTTTAATCTCTGAAGTTTCAGTAGCAGAGGTGCTGCTAGCCTCACGTTAAACGTTTTCTCTTTTCAAGCTCTTTGGGGGTCAGGTTAGGTTTAAGAGTGCATCGGCCGGGAAAAGAACTTGGACTACTTGTGTGGCTGGTTAACAGTTTAGCAGTGAGCCAGTGATGCAGCCTTAAGACAAATATTCCACTTTAGTTCTTCAATAAAATAAGCTGCATCGAAATCTGGAGCAAGATAAGTAGTCTTGAATATCTTCAACGAAAAGAAACGGTGACAAATTGTGACTAAGACAAATTTGCCCCATCAGCTATCATTCTGATGTATCATTTAGAAGAAAAACATTGAATATCGGTTCATAAACTGAAATTAAAGTTGGAGGTTGAAAGCAACCAATGTTTTTAGCTATCTTGCACTCAAATTAGTTGCAGTATCTGAGAAGAAATTCTATTGGCAACAGTGTATGACGCCACATAGTGATATAACCCATTCATTTTGAGACAATTATTCTGCTTCCGACATCTGTACTGTTTTTAAATGTATATGCATTTGTGATGAGAAATATATTTAGAATAACGAAACAAAAGCTGTCACTTTGCACTCTCTAAGCTTTCTGTGCATTTATTACGAAAAAATTAGGGTTCTGAAAATTACAGTAACCAGATATACCATGCATACGATTCTGGAGCTATTGAAATAGTAAATGGTCAGAATTTTCTTAATTTATTTAGCCTGATGAAGGCGTTTTGAAATGAATTCAACTTAACAAAAAGAATAGTGTCCTCACTTTGCCACAATCACACAAAGAAAGCAAGCGAAATCACAAGTTACTGTGTCCTACTGATTATAGTACTAGTTGTCAGAAACCACTCACTAAAATCAGTAGTTCTTGTTTGCTATAATGCCATGATTTTAATTTCAGGTGGGGGTTTAACTCGTTTGGGGTCTAACATTATTTTTCCATAGGGAATCGTGGCTAATTTTCTCGTCTATTTATGTAATTTGCAGTGATGAATTGTATTCTGTGAATTAAAAATTTTCCTAAGTTGTTAGTCAGAATTCGGATGGTTTTAATTGATAAAGTTGTCTGAACTCACTTTACCTGAACATATTGGAGTCAAAAGAGTGAAATGTCTGTCCCCTGTTTAGTTCACCTCGTACTGGAAAGAAGGCACAACTGGTTGCCGACTATTCATTTCTGCCAGTAGAACGTACTATCTTATAGTAATAATATGTTATGCCTCAAATGAATAATACTTTATTAAACTCTTTAATAAACCTAAATTGAGTGAGTCACTTTCAGTTTCATTGGTTTCAATCATTTAACCTATTATGTAGCTCCGTAGTCCTCAGTGACCAGTAGGAGGCAGCAGGTCATGTGTGAGGACAAATACACGCCGAAGACATTGGCTGGAGGTCGCACTATGTCATTAATTGGCAGAAGCTGGAATTCATGGGCCATTGGATTGAGTCACAGTGGCATAATGGTCTACAAGGTCGGTCGCCTTGTAACCAGAAGGTCCTGGGTTCGAACCCCAATGGGTGCGTACTGATAAAGAGTCCTGAACTAAGACGAACAGATTTCCAGTACTCCCAGATTTGCCAGTGGTTCTCTAACCGATTCCAGCTCATGATGAAATCCTGATACTAAAAAGGAATCCGTTTCATTCTGAGACTTTAGTGTTTTTTCTTCCAAATGAGGGAATAAAAGTGCGCAATATCACATTTACCTTCGTTTCCATTTGCATCCAGATGACAGCTTATTCATTAAATGATTTACCTCACTGCGTAACTCTGAAACTCTTATAAAAATTCCCTCATGTATTGCTTCATGTCATTAACTATGATTATGACAGCTCATCACTTTTGTTACATCCCCTTTTGGGAAAAAAAGTTGTATAAAAAGCTATTCTGTAGCTGAAGGGGCAGATAAATTCGCTGGAAAGAGGCTCTTCAGTGAACTACTTGTTTTAATTTCTCATCATTACATGGAAGGAGATTGTTCATGAGGCTTTTCAAAATTGTCTAAGCTACCTTCTATCTACCACCATTTAAGAGTAGCCAATTGTGTTGAAACCTTTGGGTGGATGTTCATCTCGTTCTCAGGTGAGCAGTTCACATGACACAACATCACAGGGAATAATTAGTTCTGAATATTTTACTAGCCAAAAATTACATTGAATTTCAGATGCTGGTAGTTATTTGGTATGACGCTCCAAATAGTAGACTTGTGACAACAGACAATGATAAGGCATAGCTTAAATATCCCCAGTTTGAATGAACATCACTTGGACACAAGTGAAAACGAAAAGTGCTTGATACAATAGACCGCATATCATATCAGCATGGAATCATGAAAATGCAATTTTACATGTTTAACTCTGAAGTCTTTAGCCTAGACATGACTATGAAGCAAGATTTCCTGTCATAGACTATCAAGCTGTCTGAAGCCGTTCGAATGAAGACCTCTGAAGAAGAATATGAATTTCATTATTTAATGTCGGATAATTAAATAATTTATTACTTATGTGATAACGTGAACATAGCAACACTACAATACGCGTTATTGTTAGGCTAAACCATAAAACCACTCGTGACAATCGCCTCAGTATACTTGTGATCTCGAAAAGCTCATCGTTTTTCCTTATGTTCATGCGACTGACAACGAATGAAGTGGAGTAAAACTTTGACTGCAGTTAATCCCGTAGCTATTTTTACCTTAAGGATTTTGAACAACGATAATAATTTGGTACAATACATAAATCTGAAAATATCTCATTAAAAAAAATAAACTAACAGAAAGCAGAAATATATATATATATATACATCTGATTACCTTTTGACGTAGTAACTCCTGAAACCACATTCCAAGTCGAAGAGCGAATGTGCTTTCATTTTGATCCCAGTCACACAAACCACTAAGATCTAGAAAATATTAAGTCAATTCATTCATCATTAAAATTTTAATATAAAATAAACGCTAACTTGCCATAGAATTTCGGTTAAATGTTAACTTCATATAACTACAGACCATCTTATTACTTCAGTATCGGCATTTTGTTTTCCTCAGTGGAAGGAAGTCCAGTTGCTTTCACATTTTACACAAAATTCAGTTATCTGAGTATTTGTTCTGTAGCCTAACGAAGCTTACTGTTTTAGACTCACCACACCTCCTTTCCACTGAGCGCTCCACTATCTCCGTCGTCAAACAAATGATGAGACTTATGGCTATAGTTTCAGTCTGCGTTACTTCAAAGACAGTCTAGGATACTTTCTACGCGAACTTATGGTACTGGTCAATCAGATTTCAGTAAGCGTTAGGCTGAAACTGAAACGACTGATTCTCAGTTGAACTGCTCACAGTTTGATAATGCGCGCGTGTATCAACAACCAATTACTCTGGATAGTATAATAACCAGTAAAGAGAATGTAACCAAGTCAAATGAAGTGTTCATTATTTACAAATAATGATTATTATTTATTCATTTCTAAAAATTCCAAATGACACTGAAGTTCGTGATCAATCATTTATGATATGTCCATCAAAAGTGAAAACAAAATGAAGAGAAGGACATATGGACAGAGTGAAATAAAATATAATATATTTTGGAAAGACATTATTTATGTGCATCAAAATACTACTTATATATACATATAACATTAATGATTTATTTAGAAAGATGTCAACGAAAAGACAGTTTTTTTACCTTTCTGAGATGGACGGGACAAGAATCTCATCGAATAATTTAACAGTGGCAACATAACTGACAACAGGAACTCTGTGTGCGTGTGTGTGTGTGTGCGCGTGGATGCGTAAGAGAGGGAAAACGTTGTGTGCGATCTCATATTGTAAGAGTTAATAATATATATGTTGTTACTATTGTTGTTCTGTCCTCCTCTACCCCTTGTCAAGAATTAAATATGAACATAAATAATGAACAGTGTTTTGTCTTATAAGGAAACAAAAACAAAAACTGGGAAGCTGAGTTCTGTTCTAATGAACAACTGTGAAATGCGAACTAACTAAAATTAAAGGAATTTACACAGAGGGGATTAATGAATTTTTTCTTGAGACGAAATATCGGATGTATTATGGATTGTGTTAAGTCACTGTGATGAATATCCCATAAAGCTGTGTACAGTACGCTACTCAGAGTCGGAAGCAGACAAAGTGACTTGACTATTTATTAACATCATCTATAATTATTAAAGTGAAGGTGTTTTATAACAGTCAGACGAAGAGACTGTAATTCAAGTGTTGGTTTATAGGGATTTGGTTGGTTGGTTACAGGATTTCATCATAAGCTGACATTAGTTAGAGAACCATTGGAAAACCTGGGAGTACTGGACAGCTGTTTCGTCCTAGTTTTGGGCTCTTCAGCGGTACGCACCCACCGGGATTCAAACTCAGGACTTTCTGATTACAAGGCGAGCTCGTATACCATTAAGCCACTGGGACCCGATCCGATGGCCCATGTATTCGAACTTCTGTCAATTCACGACATAGCGCGACCCCTAGCCAGGTCACAGCAGGTCGGGTGTAAGGACAAATACTCGCCAAAGACATTGACAGGGGTCGCGCTATGTCGTGAATTGACAGAAGTTCGAATTCAAGAGCCATCGGATCGGTCCCAGTGGCTTAATGGTATACGAGCTCGCCTTGTAGTCAGAAAGTCCTGAGTTTGAATCCCGGTGGATGCGTGCTACTGAAGAGCCCCAAATTAGGACGAAACAGCTGTCCAGTACTCCCAGGTTTTCCAATGGTTCTCTAACTAATGTCAGCTTATGATGAAATCCTGTAACCAACCAATCAAATCCCTACAAACCAACACTTGAATACCAATGAGATGCTCGCTAGTGACTAGCCTATTCAGGTAGGTAGTTACCTGGGTTCTGCGGGAAGTCGTGACCAGTAGGGTGCAGCAGGTCCGGTGTGAGGACAAATACTCGCCGAAGACACTGGCTAGGAGTCGCGCTGTGTCGTGAATTGTCAGAAGTTAGAAGAGACCGTAAGTAAGAAGGGGATAGTTATATAGGGAAGAAACGAAGGTGATTGAGACTCTATGCTGTCAAGGTAATCACTTGAGTTTAAAAAATGTTTTGATTGTCTTGTTTCACTTTTTTATCATTATATTCTATGGTCTGTTCGATATGTTTGTCACCAGACCACCATTTATCCCTTCAAGCTAAATTTCTACATATTTTGATAAATATTGTAACATTCATTTAGGATTTTCATATTCAGATTGTTCTTTTATAGTTATTAATTTGCGGACTGCCTTAATTTTTAAAAGGTATACTCATTCGAAGTACTTGCTGAGTCATCAGCTGGAAAATCTTCTTTTAATTTCTCTTTCTTCAACACTAGTGGAGTGTAAATTCAAAATTTTACGCATGAACGTCTACCGGTATTGTTTCAACAAACTACCGACTAGTTAGATAAAAATCAATCAACAATGGGACAACAGTGATAAAACCGTTATTTTCAATATATATATATATATATATATATATATATATATATGCACTTTTGTTGTCTGCAGTCATCAGAAGGCCTATCTAAGACTCATTCATCTGAAAGCATAGAATTACTTAGTCTCCTAGCGTTCAGTTCACAGATAACAGAGGATGCTGAAAATAGAATTATTCATTTTTGGTTCATAGTGAGAGTGTCTGAAATCTGACTTCAGTGTTTATCAAAATCCCCTCAATTGTGGCACATCATGAATGAAATATATATTTAGAAAGAGAGAAAGAGAAAGAAAGGTGAAAGGTAAACCTACCACGACATTCATCGTAATACTTGATAGCAGAATTTTCATTGGCCCTATGATTACTGAACTGTTCACCACCACATCTTGAATCACCTGATCGACAATAACATTGATTTCTCCATAGGTCACATTCATGTCTGTAGGTTACGCCGTCTACGCACAACTAATTAACAAGTTAGAAAACAGGCAAATTTATGAGTTTACTTATGATGTTGTGATGTTAATTTATGATGAAATGAGAACAATAACCTTCCCAATCGATTTAGCAAAATAGAAGAATACAAACACGCTGAACATAAGACAGCAAACAACAATACGTTCCACCAACCCCCCCCCTCCCCGCACCCACTCCTGATTCCACTGATGATCAGATACTTTTTATTTACTGTCTAAACTGTGGCATCCGGCTAGGCCATGCTCTGAGTTCCGTTTTTCTATTTGATACTATTTATAAAGTTGAAATGTAAGCGTAAGAATAATATATACACATATTAAAGATTCGTTTCTTATCGGATAAGTTAATCGAAACCTGACTGATGATTTTATTTTACAGAAATTTGATTTGCCTCAATTCGAATTTCTTATTGATTCATTTATACTGGGCTGAAATACTTGGGTCTTTGTTGATATGTCCACTTCTAGTACGGACGTTTTAACTATATCCGATGGTTAACATGACACCATTAGGTTGATTGTGGCTAGTAGTGGAATACACAATGGGCTTTTCGTCAGCCGGGATGAGAATCCACAACCCACCTTTTAAGTTTCAGTCGACAAAACACGATCGTATACATATAGTTAGTATGGGTGTTTCTTTAGTGTAGCAGACTCAGCGAAGCAGTTATTTCCAATGAATAAAAATGTATGTATTTAATTGAATTTTAGATTTTTCTGTCGATTGATTGAACTGAAGTGCTCGGTCTCAGGTTGACATGTTGGCTTCTTGTGCTGAAGCTTCGATGATTAAGCTTTGGCGTTTGAAACTATGGGCACTGGGTTCAAGCCTCGGTGGAAACATCATCACTCATCACATCCAGCTGGCGAGTCCCAAATAGGACGAAATGTGCATCCTGGATTCCACTGCTAGTCACCATCGTCCAATTAAAAGAACAAAAATGTAGTTGGTTATCGCCCTCCCACTTGTACTTTGCAGTTTCTGGAGCAAACAATAATCTCAAGTAATGGTAACATGTTTAAACACTCTACTGTACAGTTGTTTTTTTTGTCTTGGATTTAGAAATTTATCTGAGAGGCATGGGAATCAGTTAAGGTCGTGTGTTTACCAACAGTTGTCCAACAAAATTCTACTTTAAGATTTTTAAAAATATGGAAATAATTTCTGGTTTCTTCTCTTTCTCTAAGGTATCTGCAGGTGGATACACAATCGTCGTAAGAGAAAGCCACTGAATGCTCTAAACTTTCATTCGGACAGATGATGGAAACTTTATTAAAGGCTTTCTATCGGAAGTAATGTTGGTTATCATCTCATTCACTAACTCACTCATTTAATGAAATAAACCACTTACCTGTCTATTGTAACTGTTCCACTCAGATGGACAATCATCAAGGCAGCTGCATTTACCATCTGTGCACATTTCACCCAGTTTACATTTCACATTTTCACATGCATCTGAAATTCATCATTTAATAAATCAATCAATAAATCAGTTGGTTGATGCATTATTTCTAAGTATTGAGAAAAATAATCAATACTACGACTGGTGAACCTTTTGTACATTTATTTAAATTTTACTCACTGAATTTCACACGCATGAAGTTCTTAAAAAGGAGAATAAAAATTCAGTTGATTTTATAGTATCTCTACATAAAGTAGTAACCGGAATAAAATAATTCGATGAAAAAAATCAATACTGAAGATTCATTTTAGAAAGTGACTACTCGAGATTCTGAAATCTCACCAGTTGCACCAGTAATAATATTTCATTTCACATAAGTGGTTTTAACTCTGTTCAAGTAAATCAAACTGTTGAGTTGAAAGTTCAAATGCATATACAAATCAGTAAACAAGCATCCTTTGTCAGTTTAGCCACCTACTGCAGAAGTCAACTGAACTCTGCTTTATCTTCTCATTGTATTCTTCACTGGACTAATTCATTAGAATGGCCTCAAGATTGATGACATCAGTTGCAGGACTGATGAAAACCAAGAGACCCCGGATATATCCTTCATCTTAGATTATAGCTTTTCAATATGTACCATGGAAGCACTAGTAAGGACAATTTTAGACTGAAGATAAGGACGTCATTGTTTTGTCCAAATAATAGCCAATAATATCCGATTTTGGCAAATTTACTATCCCCCCTCCTATTTAAAGTGATCAAAGAGTGAGCGTATATCTTCATTTCAGAAATCCCAGTGTTCATGACTTTTTATTAAAACTCAAGCCTAGTGTAAATTCGTGACGCAATCAAACTGAAAGTTTCACTTCACAAACACGGATTCAGAAGTCATTAAAGGTACCAGGAATTTCAAAAGTTTCAGGTTAAACTCCGAAATCGCCATCTCTGTGAAAAATCAGCAAAACTGGAGACTGATTTACAACATTCTGAAGTACGATATTCCAAGTTAGTCTTTACCGACATGCGTTATAAGTATAAGATAAGCACCAGACAATGACCGGAAATGTTATAAAATATGAATTAAAATTTAAAAAAAAACTTACTCAATATTAATTTGCTAAACTGTCTCATTTAACCTACCTACATCCGATTCATCGTCAGATTTATTCTGAGAGAAAAAAAGAAACAAATAAACATTGGGTGAACATAGAAAGTGTCCATCTCTGACTGTCCACATCTCCAAAGTATTTGCGGGTCTTTCAATATATACCAATAAAATTTAGTCATCATATGACCCTATGTGGGTTTATAGCAGATAAAACGATTAGGTTTACAGAAACCACTTGCAATGACAGCCAGTTTCAATACAAGATATAAGAATAAAACTTGTGCACTGTTGTGGAGTATAATTCCATTATGGATAACATTTATTCTGATAAAGTCTCACAGTGTTGTACAGTAATATTTACTGATGACATTTCGAGCACAATTTATTGCTCATAATCATATCAAGTTACTCACACAACTTTCTAACTTAATTAATTAATTTTTCCTTCACGTTCTCAGTGGAACATAGGGCTTCAGGCTAGTGGCTTGAAGTTTCTGTGGCAGTGTTTGTTTGTACAGGATGGGGTTGCTAGCCTCATGCCCAACCTTTCCTCTTTACCAGCATTATTTCTAGCTTAGCGAGGTAAAGGGGGACGTCCTGTGGCCGGGGATCAAACCCCGAACCATGTGCGTGGTCGGCGAGCGTCCTTACCGCTGTGCCACCGACACACACACTTTCTAACTTTGTTTATATAATTCCATTATTTTCCATCGACTGATCTGATTGGTATTAGCATTTTCCATATTTCAGGTATCAGTGATGAATCATTTCTATTGCATGTGTTGGGTGTAGACTCGATGAACAAGGATTCAGTAATCAACCTCTCTCTCCACCTACCTAGATTACTTTTTATAATTTTGACCTTCTCCAACCCTATTGTGTGGTTGTGTGCTAATGCATGCAGTGTAGTTGCTGAGCTTTTTTCTAAACCATTTATCTTCTCGGGGTCAACCATTCTTACCTTAGCTAAATTCTTATGTTCTGACAATCTAGCTACCCCCGACCTACTAGTTTGACCTATGTAGTTGACCTAACTCACAGTCATTGAAAGGTATTTTGTAAATTATACTATATTGTCTAGTTGGATCAACAGGGTGCTTTAACCTACAGAGCTTGTTCCTGCCTGAGTGAGTTTGTAGGTTTAAATGCCACCCTAATTCCTGCTTTATTTAGAATCCTACGTAGTGTCTCAGATGTCCCCTCTTTATATGGTATAACTGTGGATGACTTATATTCTCTCTTATTTATCTTATCACCTCTAGTTTCACAATTATTTTTATTTTGCTTTTGTCGTTTTCCGATCTTTCTAATGAATTTAATAGGATAGTTATTTGATACCAACGCTTCTTCTATCTGTTTTATTTCACCACTTAGGTCTTTTCTTGTACTATTTAGTGATATTGCTCGGTTTGTTAGACACTTAACTAAGCCTGTCTTAACAGTCAACGGATAAGATGAATTGAAGTCTAAATATCTATTAGAAAAATAATGGAATTCTATAAACGAAGTGAGAAAGGTGTGTGAGTACCTTGATATGATTATGAGCAATAAGTTGTGCTCGAAACGTCATCAGTCAACATTACTGTATAACACCGTAAGACTTTTTCAAAATAAATTTTACCAACAATGGAATTCAATGCAAGATCATGATTTAAGATGAGGTGTTACTGGAGAAGATAAGAGACTCGGTAACGAACTTTTATTAAGGAAAAACATCATATATTTGTACGTTCTTAGCCACATTAAAGTTCCGGTAGGTCAGAGGATAATAAGTTGTTCTGATTGGTTGGTACTTGGCCTAAGGTTAAACATGTTGTCCAACGCCGTTATTTCATGTCCAGAGAGTAAAAAACTAAACCTACGTACGAGGAATAAACACTTTTGTCTCTTCAGGCATTGACTTGAAATGCTGATTTCGGTTAGGGCGGCTTCTTGTTGATCTGCATCATCCTAAAGTAGTTGTCGCGATCATATTCAGACTATGATTGGCGTTCACGCCGTACCTCATACTCCATCCACTTGGTAGGTGATACATATGTAGCATAAAGTTGTGAAGCTGGCAGTTTGTATCGCAACGTTTAGCTAGATTTTCTCTGTCAAGTTTATCATTGATGATTATGTTTGTAAAAGGTTGTCGATTGTTTCATTTATCCTCCTTTGACAGTATCCAAAATTTTGGATAAACTGCTAAAATTGGCTGATTGCTACTTTTACCAGTTTATCAAAGATGTTTAAACGAACACCAGGTTCAAATGATTGTTGTTGTGCATAGAATTTAGTTAGCAATCTTTTAATAATTTCGACGTTAAGATAAGTGAAAAAGTCTTGGTATACAGAACACAGCATTCTGTAACTGAAGGCAAATCAATAGGTAATCCACTCTCGAAACTAGACTTTTAGATAACATCAGCAGAATGTGTGACCCAATCTGCAGAAAGTGGTGTCTTTGTATTTTATGGGATTTATACCATGCAATACTACAGCATTTTTGTAAAAGGTGCCAAAAATCACTGGCTGACATGCTTCAAAGAGTAGGAAATCTAAGTCAGAATAGCATTCTAAATGTATAAGATCATGTATCGTGGTGTTTCTTTTGTTCATTTTACTTATGCGCGAGAAATTTTTACGAACACATTGGCTGATCAGTTATCACTTTTCAGTTAGTTAGATGTGAATCTGTAACAGTCGCTCCAGTTTCACTGATCTTTGAAGTAAATTTGAACTAACTTAATTCACCTTTAATGGAATTTGTGTTTATCAAATGCATGTGAACAATTGATTGTACACCAGATAGAAGGTATCTGGGTATATGTATAAATGATTTTTGAACTTTGGAATGATTTCATTGGAACCTCATCATGTTTACATGCATGTGTGTCAACATCTTATCCACATGGCGATCATCATTTGGCTATACAATACCTTTCTGTGTATAAGTGAAATCTACAGTGTTTTCCATTCACCATTAGTTAACTGATTGTAATCCAACTAGACTACCAGATAGTAACTTGGAGTTAGTTAGTCAGCTTCGCAAATAAACCAACAAGCTTAGAGAACACAACTAATTCCAAATCATCCACCTGAGCAACAAATCTTCTCTATTATTTCAGATAGTAACTTACCCAGATAAATCTTAGGTAGCACAGGGCATTCTACAAAGTCTGGTCACTACTGTTTGGATTCAAGCTAAGTGTCGTTCTAAAATGCTCCCAATTGTCTTTATGACTGAAATTAGAACGTACAGCGTACAATCAAGGAGCCAAAGACCCGGTCTACTGAAAAGTAATCAACCCAGTGGTGAACATTTGCTATCTTACTGTGTACATAGTACACACATACATACACCCAGTAGTCAGACATATATATATAATATATATATATATATATATATATATAAAATAGTAGTTCAGTCTCCAGGTTTGCAGCCTGTTTTTAGTATGATTGTAGCAATGCAACTAGCATTCACGCTTAGGTAAACGTAATTTATACACATTACTTAAACTCCGATAAGCTGATTTAGGCCTGAATGAATTTCTGTAAGAATACATCTGCACTATCACTATTTAGCACTTATGAATATATTTAAGACTAGATGTAACTCTCTTCTTTTGTTTAAATAGCAAAAATGACTTACTGTTTAAAGACAAAAAGCAACAGTTATATTCAGAAATAGAATCTTTCTGATTAGACCCAAATGAGTTATCATGTTGTGCCATGAAATGAGTTAGAACACGCGATGTTTTGCATTGAATGTTGAATATTACGGTTACTTACTACTGAATTGAAACTGTTGAATATTTGTGAAGAGTAACTAAATCTCTGTCAGGTGCCCATCACTTTTTATTTACTCATGTGTTTTAATGTCCACTAAGGCATAACCACTGTAAAAGTGGAAAGACAAAGTGAATCCAACTCTTACACAGAGTCAAAAATAAGCATGCCATCCGAAGTCAGTGTACTTAATCCCACCTGAAGGCAATAATCTCCGCAGCCAAATACGACTTTACTAACTTTACTAACATAGTACATTTCACCTTCTCATTGCATTATGTCGGTTATAAAAAAGAATACACTACTTATGCATTATTTATTTGGTATTATTTTGCATAATGGTAAGTTTTACGAGTTGATCACGGATTGATATCAGTTAGAGAACCATTGAAAACCAGGGAGTACTGGACGAATTAGTAGAAGTTAGAATTCACGAGCCATTGAATCGGGTCCCAGTGGCTGAATGGTATACGAGCTTGCCTTGTAACCGGAAGGTCCCGGGTTCGAATCCCAGTGGGTGCGTACTGCCGATGATTCCCAAACTAGGATGAAAACGGCGGTTTCCCGTTCTCCCTGGTTTTCAATGGTTCTCTAACTGATATCAATCCGTGATCAACTCGTAAAACATAACTAATCCTTACAAACCAAACTTTAGAAAGATAATGGTAAGTACTCTGTGGAAAACTATTACATCATTTGTAATGCTTTATTAAAAGTCTGCATTCCTTAAAACTTCCCGAAAAGTGAAACATTGTAATGAATACAAATTCTGATTGCGATTGCAACAAATAATTGTCTTTCTCAAGACAATGAAACGAGAAATAGTACAGGCCAGTTTGCAATTTTTTTTCGAGCCTCTGCCTTCCAAGTGAGAATCAGAGCTACAGACTTGAGGTGGTGGTGGTGGTGATTAATTTTACGAAACGGTGTTGTTAGATTCACATTCAACTTCTCCTTCTTCACTGACTTTGTTTATAATTTATATGATATAAAAGATAAGACTAAGCTTACTTTTACCACAAAAATACTCATGCTGTGGTTCAGACAAGTGTGGTGGTGTGATACAGACAATGTGTATCAATGGAATGCTATTCTCAGATGTTCACACAGTTCACTACAACATTAACAACACAATACAATACATCTCTTTGATCATTCTATTTCATGTTAGAGACAGAATACTTTCACAAAGTTCAGCACTGAGTTACCAACAGAATACTATATATATATTTGAACATTCTATTTCATGTCGTTTGATGTAAACCGAAATCACACGCTCAGTGAGTGGT